AGTTCAAGTCGTAATCAAAGTCTTTAGAAGACGGTGGCGACGAGAGGCAGGCGATTCACGGGCACACTCACAGTTCAGGAAAAACTTGCCCCCCCTCGGTGGTTTCACAGTTTCTTTTATATGGGGGGATATCTTCTCGAGATCTCTCCCTGTACGTCATAGGTGATGATCTTCTTTGACCAATGGTGGGTGAAGTGACTAAATATGACACAACAGTTAACTCATCTTCTACAGGGAAGTATTGTGGTGGGAAAGGAGTTTTTATGAGCGATTTTTATGAGAAAATTTGTCGGTTGTTTTTTCCTTTTTGAGTTAACCCTAACTTTAAAAAAAATCGTTTTGGTTTGAAATGAATAGAAATTATTCGATTCTCAGCCTTTCTAAATCCCGGGCCTCACAATATAATTATTCAAAATTAATGACTAGAGCTTAAATTTTTTAAATAGACTTTGCTTAACAAATAATTACAAAACAGCAAAAATTCATTAAATTTTCTTTATAAAATAAATTCCTTCATTTAAGTAAAATTGTAAACTTATAAGACTATAATAATGAAATTCATTTGTATGCAAACATTAGAATTTTGATTGTCATAATTGAATTTGTCATATATTTCAATAAAAATCAATATTTAATTTACTCATTATAGATATTTAGTGCAATTTCAAATAAATCCATGTATGTACTTATGCATGCATGTAGATGTGTGTTGAATAAACATAATAAAAATAGTTTATGTTCTTTATCTCTAATTTTTATAGAAATGCAGAATATAATTTTAAATAAATAACTTAAAATATCTTTTTTTAATTTAATATAATTATTATAAATTATCATCATCATTATTCTGATTGTTGTTATAAAAAATTAAACAAAATATAAAACCAATTTTAGATATTTTATTTCAATATAGTGAATTGCAGTATTGTCTCACTGCATTATAATAAAACTCATCAAAGAAAGCATTTAGCATCTCAAAATTAAATTTTATTAAAAATAAAAGATTCACAAATCATAACTATCTCTTTTGCAAAATTAGAGGAAAAAATCATGTATTTTTTAAATATATATATACAGGTAGCCCTCGGTTTATGTCGCAGTTCCGTTCCTACAAAAGCCGGCGCAAATCGAATTGGCATAAAACGAACCCATATTTACACTGAGGTATAGGGTTAGGTTCCACATAAGTGAAAAATACACAAATAATTTTGTTTATTAATACAATATAATACAAAGTACAAATAAATTTAATTTTTAAAATGTATTTTATCATAAAATAAAGTTAAGTGTTTTTATTATAAATTTTAGTTTCCGATCTCTTACATTTTTCGGAAAAAGTATCCATCTTTAATTGTTTACATTTTTGTTTTCTTTCATTGAGAATTTTGGAATATGGTCGAATGGATGTGATAATGCTCCTTTTTTACATTTTCACTTCGCTCCCAATCATTGTCTAACTCACAAAATTCAACCGTCAAATTTTCCATAGTTGAAAGGATATGTTAACCCGACGTAGAGCTATGGACGAGCAGAGACACTGATTAGTCGACCACCGGTTGCCGTAGCGCATATATAAGATCGGTTTGAGTGGGAAAATTAAGGAGAGATAGATATCGTCTGGCCAACGAGAAGTAGATTTGTCTCACTAACGATAGTTTGTGATCGCTGGAAGTGCTATTGCGTCATAAGGTGTTTTCCTGAACAAACTGATACGGGATAAATTCAATGGCGCTATGGATTCGGACGCCATTTATTGGACTATTAAGTTTGATAACTTGACTCGTGGGTACCTAAACGTTTAGTATTTTAATATTAATTTAATACAAATGTATACATACCCAGTAATATTAAACAGAAAAAATAAATATATTCAATAAAAATCTTTGTTTTAACAAATGTACAATGTCACAGCTCGGTAAATATGTCAACACTGAAACAAAAATCAGTCTGGCATAGGGAAAATCGGGGAATTACACTGCAAAACAGCAAATTGTGCAGTGGTGTTATTGTGAATCAGCGTAAATTGAGCCGGTGTAAACTGAGGGCTACCTGTATTTAGTATGTTCATCGTGGCTCTCACATGGTAGACATAGTGACTGACCAGACTCTAGTCAGGGAGCCTGGGTTCATGTGGGCTTGGTATGAAGATGACCAGCTTGTATTTTTTGCTTTGCTTGGATTTTCTTGTGGAATATTGAATTAAATTTAATTGGAGTATTTAATTCCTGTCATTCTTTCAGTTCTTGTGTTAGTTCCTATTTTGTTTTTGTTTTTAATGTCATGTTCGTCATTGTAAAATCTGTCGGTGTAATTACTCTATTGTCCCTAATTATGTATTAGGGTTGTATCTATCTATCTATGAAAATCTATGTTTTTGTAAATACGTGCTTAATTTGTGAATGAAAATAATATTTTTTTTGTCATTTAGCTGCCTCATCATATTCCAAAGCGGTAGTGGGGGCAGAGTGGTTAGGTCCCTCGCCTCATATCACTGAGGTCTCAGGTTCAAGTGGGGAGGGAGAGAGGGGCTTGCCAATGATCCTGGTCTGGAGGCCTCGCTATAGGATGTGGGGCCATGATGTTCATTATTACAAATTACAGAATGAGCCATATAGATATAAAAAACTATAATCATACTTTTCACAGTTTTTATATTATAATATAAAAGGTTATATTTAAATGCTGTATTTTTTTTCTTTTTTTTTTACCATCTCCATATACTAAAATAAAACCTATCTAAAACAGAAACCTGTATAAATGGAAAAAATTCTTTGGAACAGAGCAATTTTCTATGTTAAATTTTACTGTAAGCTAGAAACCTGTCCAGCTTAGAAGTGGAAGAGATTTTTGAGTGCCAAAAAATATAACTTAACCTGAATAAGAAGGAAAATGAAGATTCCACTAGAAGACAAATAAGTAAAATTGCCTCCATGTATAACAATTACTACAGAGCAGCATTTCTCAACCTGGGTGATATCACCCCTTGTGGACATTTATTGTGTTTTAAGGGGCAAAAAGCTCTAATTTACATTTTAGGGAGTGAATTAAAAATTTGATAGACAATTTACTAATGAATGAATATATTTTTATTTTTGAAATTTGGCTTGGCTATAAGGAGGCCTCTAAAGATTAAAAACTGCACTATATAATCATAATTACATATATCTAATGCTAATCAAGTTTGTACTGAATTTAATGCAGTGACATGTTAGTGATAACTCACTAGGCTAGTAAAGTAAATAAGTTGTCAATAGCTCAATGCAACATCATATGCAAAACGAACTTGATTAGATGTAATTATGATTATTGTAGAAGGATATTCAGGGTGCCACATTCCTTCAGTGGTTTTCATTTTGCCAAAGAAAGCCTCCATTGATTCATTTGAGTCTTCGTATTTGAATGTAGTCATATTTTTCTTGATGTTTTATAGGAATGTGAAATCCGGAATTTTTACCGATTCCTTGCCCATTAATTGTCCCGTATTTGCCTAAAAATTTAATCAAACTTTCCTTTAACTCAAAGTGAAACCTAACGGGAAAAAAATTTTCCTTTCTGTTCGAAGTAAACATCTGTTCATTTCGAAACTAATCCCACATTCCAACTACTAAGTTGATAGTTAACATGGTCCTGGGGACAACTCTGACCCATCTGCGTACCTTTTACCTCACAACAATCGGTCACGTGACCGTTCTTCCACGACAAACTTATAAAAACCCCTTCCTTCCCCTTCTCGGGGAGTCGTTCATCAGCCACCAACCAAAAGTTTCCTAAAAGTTTCCTACAACAAATATATCCT